GAGGCGCTGCTGGAGATCCGGAAGAAACGAGCCATCAGCCCCAACGAAGGCTTCATAAAGCAGCTGCGGCAGCTCAACGAGACCCTAATGGAGGAGCGGGACGAAGACGATGACGAGACGCTCAGCCAGTGCTCTGTGATCGACGCCCGCGGCCGGCTGGAGGAGCAGGAGAGTGTGTTCGGGGTGAAGGCGGACTCCATCATGGTGGAGGAGGAGGAGGATGGAGGAGGCAGCGTGATCAGCAGTGTTGCCTCTTCAGCTGCCGCCGCCGCTCTCCGAGCTGGAGTTCAATGTGGATCCCAGCAACCCAACATGCAGCAGCCAGCAGACCAGCCCTCGCTGCCGGGACAGACCCGCGAAGATGAGGATGGGGATGTGGACCGCATGATCCTTGAGTGGCAGAAGCGCAATGAGAAATACCAGAGTGAGGACTGGTGGGAGGCGCAGCTGCTGTGCGAAGATGAAGATGACGGAGAGGATAAGACACAGCGCGCCGTCCGGCCAGACGACCTGGAGAGTGTGACTAGTGAGGATGTGCGGATGGTGAAGGAGCGCATCGGGCGGCGTCCCCGCAGAGCTGCATCACTAGCCGGATCCACTTCCAGCTGCAGCAGCTACGTAGACCTGTGGAAGCAGCGGCTGCAGGAGCTGGAGGAGCAGGCGGCTGCACGACACCGCCTCCAAGACCAGGACACCAGCAGCGAAACACAACAAAAGAAGATCGACGACGATGTGCAGAGCATCCTCTCCGACAGCAGCTCTATGTACAACTTCTGCAAGAAGAACAAGGAGAATCTAACACCTCTGGAGAGATGGAAGATCAAGCGCATTCAGTTCGGCTGGAATAAGAAAGAGAACGCAGAGAACGGAGAGCAGAGCGAGGCTGAACCGGCGGCAGCTCCTGATCTGGAGGACGTCAACCTCACAGCCTATCAGACCTGGAAGCTAAAGCAGCAGAAGAAGCACGGCGGTGAAGAGAACAAGGAGGAGATCCTGCAGATGAGCCGAGGGGAGGACACGGCCACCGCCAGGAGGCGGCAGCGGAGGGAGGAGGTGCTGGAGCGCAGCCGCAGGAACCTGCAGGAGAGCCAGTCAGTATGTGGCTGGGAGACCGAGAGCGCTCTGAGCTCCAGCATCCCACTGTCTGCATTCTGCGCCGGAGCCTTTCCATCCGCCAGCGTCTGCGGAGACGACAGCATGTCTGTGCTGAGCGGGAGGTCCTCAGTGCTGTCAGGGCGAAGCACTCGATCTCTACCTCCTGCTGTCCTGGAGACTCCTGCACCACCCACTCCGGTGCTCGGGCCTAACGGAGAGCAAATGGTGAACATCGCCAACATCCAGAACTGGATCGCCAGTGTAGTGAATGAGACGCTCCAGCAGAAGCAGACGGAGATGCTGATGGGAGCGAGTGTCGCCCCGTCCCGAGCCGGATCCGTGTTCAGTGCTGGACGAGGAGTGGATGATGATAAATCCTCTGTTCTCAGTGGACTATCGGCCTCCACTGGACTGTCCCGCAGTAGGGCTGAATCTGTGGTGTCTGTGGGAGCGAAGGCCCGGTCAGTGCTGTCGGCCGCAGGTAGAGCTGAATCTGTGTTTTCTGCTGGTGGAGCATCTCAGCTGTCCTGTGGCTCGCGCAAAAGCAAGATTACCACCACAAGTGTGCCGCTGTACAGCCTCTTCCAGGACCAGGTGAACCTCCACAAGCTGGACACCATGGAGAAGGAGATCAAATCTGACATGCGGGACAAGATGGCCTCATACGAGATCAAGAAGATCACAGAGGACAACAAGCGCAGCACACTGTACAAGAAGAAAAAGCCAAAGGAGGATGACGAGGATGTAGATATAGCCAAGTCCAATGGGTTAGAGGAACTGGAAGCCCGTACTTGTGAGAAACCAAAACCCAAAAGAGATTACGGGCGTTCAGGAATACTGAACCTTCCGGCGTCAGCCAACAACCCGACCAGCAGCATCGATGAGTGGCTGGAACACGTCAGACCTCCGTCCAGCAAACCCAGAGTTTACGATGGCGACAGTGGTCCCATACGCATGTCTCGGCCAGCCTACGAGGAGCTGCAGGAACCTTCAGGGCTGGACTTTACGAGTCGCAGGAGCTCCGTTTCAGTAGAGGTGGATGAAGAGGAGGATTACAGCTTCAGGTTTTCCTCCAGGAATTGTGCTGATGATGATTTGGATCCAGAGTTGAGCTACTCGTCTCGCAGATCTCCGTCCTTTAACGGTTTAAGCGAATCTACGAGTTTCGCAAGCAGGAGGTCTTACTCTAGATATGAGGACGAGGAGCGGAGCAGCTTCCAGAACCACTCCATCAAGCAGAAATCATCGGTGTATGAGGACTCTGGGAGGACTGCTGGATCCAGACGGGACGAGGAGGAAGATGAGGAAATATCTGCGTTTATTGCTCAGATTAAACAGAGGGCGAGAGCGAGAGTCGCGGAGGAGATGGAGGACGATGAAGTGCTGACCGCATGGAGGAAGCAGGAAGAGTCAAAGTCACATGATCACAAATAATGCCAAATGATTTATTAAATCACCATCTGTGCCAGAAAAGATAAAGTTGTCATAATGTGTATAGATTAGGGCTGCAGAATACATTGAAGAGTTCACGACAATAGATTATGCAGAGAAGTGCAATAAATAATGTTCATTTCACGTGCCGAGCATTTGTGTGCTGCATGCACAGGTGTTCATCCAAATCTGACCAATCAGGTGAGGCCTTTACTATCCAGAAGTGCTGTTAGTCGAACACAGAGCTGTAAATAAACACTGATGCTGGGAGACCCGAGAGGACAATCACAACAGCCAATCACAGCAGAGCATTACTGTCGTTAGTGGAATTTTAAAGGGTAAATGTTTGAACCTCGACATCTTTTAAAGATTTAATTATCTCAGAAAAAACATTTATTTTAGCACGATCAATACATAAATACATTTCAATTGTGATAAAATAGTCTTTTGCAATTTAGTTATACTGTTACGAAATATTGTAATCGCAACACATCTCACAACATGGCATATGTCACCAGAGTAGATGATCAACAGTTCAGTGAGACCCAGACCTCCAAACAACTGCTGACAATAGTAGAACACTGTACCCTTTATAAAACAGGCACAAAAAAGAACACACAGCTCAAAGCATCATACACTTAACACATACTGTATATGAGTTAATGTAGCGAGAACATGCGAAAACTGCCGATATATATTTTCATTTATTTATTTATGTTTATATATATATTTTTTTTATTTATTTATTTAAATATATATATATATATATATATATATATATATATATATATATATATATATATATATATATATATATATATATATATATATATATATATATATATATATATATATATATATATATATATATATATATATATATATATATATATATATATATACATATATATATATATATATATATATATATATATATATATATATATATATATATATATATATATATATATATATATATATATATATATATATATATATATATATATATATATATATATATATATATATATATATATATATATATATATATATATATATATATATATATATATATATATATATATATATATATATATATATATATATATATATATATATATATATATATATATATATATATCTATATATATATATATATATAT